CTCCAAGAAACAATATTTCTGGAGCTTCTTCCAATATTATAGTTTCTTATCTTTTCTGCAAGGTAGGCATTTCACTTTTACTGCCCGCCTTCTGTTTGTAGTGCTATCGAACATTTCCGTTTCATCCTAACTGAAAAAAGAATAAATCTTTTCAAAGGGGTGGCCCGATCTTCTTTTCTGCAGAAAAGATTACTTTCAGAAAGGAAGGCCTCAAAGGATACAATCCTGGCACAAATGAATTTCTCGCTCTGCTCTTTGGAGAAAAGTTTACATTGGATTTCAAAAATTGTATTTTTTTAAACGGTGGAATAGTATAACAACACCTTTTTACTTTTTTTTCTTACGTTTTTACCTTTTCACCGATCTTTTCACGGTATGCGTCTATAGAAATGTGAAAAGAAATTATTTTTATTTGTGTATTTTCGTCTGGAGATTTCAACAAAGCTATTTGAATTTAAAAAGTTTAACCTTTATATTATTTAGTTGTTTGCCAACTACTTTTAACGTTATTCTAAATATTAGTATTTGTTGCAAATATCGTAAGAAGGAAATTGTGTTCGGGAAATATAATTGCTGATTATTCTCCAATGATCAGAATTCTTTTTTCCTGTTAAAAATATCATTGACTAAACTTTATTTTCTTACCTATAAAAAAGTATATAATGTTTTATTTATGATTAATTCAATTAAACTAATTGCTGTCTAAAAATCTTATTGACTGATGATCTACAGCAGGGGGCGGCAACCTATGGCACGTGGTGCAATTCTCATTGGCACTCTGCACTACTCTACAAATTGAAAATTTTTGAGTGGAAGGAAATTGATAAGTTTGTAATAGACCTTATTTGACAAACATCTTCAGAATTATGGACATTTAAGGAAGTATGTAAAAATCATAAAGACAACTCAAAGATAAATTTGTAGCGAATTTGTAAATTATTGATGTAGAGAGATTTAACAGTTTGAAGACAGAAAATTGTATATACTCTGGTTTCCACTTTTGATTCTACATATCTAAGTAAAAATTCTTTCCTCGTAACAAATGAATGTTTAGAATCGTGTCAAATTGAAAGTCACAAATCATACCCCAGATTTTGTGATATGAAAGTAGAATAGTGCAAGCACTAGTTTCGCATTAAAATTTTTATTTATCCTTTTATCTAACTATAATGAAGTAAAATACTAATATTTTATGTTGTCCATTTCTTATTTTAATAAATATGCTTAAAAATACATAATATATGTAACATTTTAATTTATTTTTATTTTTGCTGAAGAAATAGTTATATTTTATGATCTTCATTTTTATATAAAGAAATATCTTTAAAAGATGCAAAATCAACACATTTTAAATCTCTAAATCCATATTCTCGACATTTATTGCTTTAACTCTGCAGCGGAAATCGAATTGTTTCAAAAATGTCCTGCTATACGCTGAATCATATCGGTAGAAGGGTTTAGCACACACAGCTAAAAGATTGCGAACCTCTGATCTACAGGTTAAGTGTCAGTGGAAAACTACTTTATTCTAGAATTACTTCTTGAACTTTAAAAAATGGATTTCGATTATTATTCTTCATTTTCCTCTACTTTTCATTAAACATTTTCACCACAATTAGGGATTCGCAACCTTTCTATGTTTATTGTATCGAAAAATAAAAGCATACAATAAAGAACTTTCCACCTCAGAAGCCGTTTATTTATGCATTTTAAATTTACTTTGCATTGCTTTGTTAAGAAAAATTAATTCTAAAATAACTTAAGGTATCCGACTACGTTCGGAACCGTGATTTTAAAAAGGTGCATAAATGGATAATTTTCCTGATATTTAGTGTCACTTAGATTATAATGCATGCATAAAATTATTTTAAGGACATTTTGACAAAAAAAAATTATTTAAATACAATATTTCGGCAAAAAATTAACTTAGAATAACCTTTTATTCAAAATGTTCTCCTTTTGTGAAAAATACTTCTATTATAATAATATTTTACCTGTATATAGCTCAGACCTCTGTACAGAGGTTCAACTATGATTTTTGAAAAATTCACATTATTTTCAGAGTTACAACCATTTGCAATAATTATCGGCGTTTTTTTCTTAAAATTTCTCCCCTATGTTGTGTCGTAAAACATGGATAAACCCACTTCTAAGTTATATACTTCAAAAGTTCTAGTTGAGCCTCTGTAGAGAGGTCTAAGCTATATACAGGCAAAATATTATTTTAATAGAAGCATTTTTCACAAAAGGAGAATATTTTGAGAAAGTGGGTCATTCTATGTTCATTTTTTGTCAAAACATTGTACTTAAATAATGTTTTATTGTAATACTATTCTTAAAACAATTTTATATACATTTTCTAATCTAAGTGATACTAAATATCATAAATATTATCTATTTATACGCTTTTGCAAAATCACGGTTCCGAACGTAGTCGGATACCTTAAGTTTGTAAACAGTTTGTTTTGTGAAATATGTCCTATATGCTTCTATTTTCATTTTGGCTGTACAAATATAACCTTGCTGCCCAGTAGAATGGTGCATATGACCCCCGGCGTGTAACCGAGTGGGTTCGGGTTCGAATCCCGAGTAAGGCATGGTTGTATCATCTTCGGGAAAAGAAGTCGGACTTTCACCTGTAGTGGATTCCCGTCTCGAATGGAAAGCAACGCACCCCTTCTGTTATGTGCTAGGATCATCATTTGTAATAAATGTCTACATTTTTCTACTTGTATTGTATGTTTCTGTTCTTCCGCTCGTATTTCATGTGTACCCCATTATAAAAACACACGACGACAACAAATACAATCTTGACGTATCTGAAATTTATAAACATTCACTTTGTTTAAAAAGTGTTAGAACTGATAATATGAAATTGTATGAGATTAGGTAAATTTATTGTTTTTGAATTAAAGTTAATTAAATTAAAATTATTTATTGTCGTGAAATGATTATAAAATGATTATATATTGAGACATATAGATTTCTGACTAGGATTACGGTATTTTATAGCATTCTTCGTATGATATTAATGATGAAGTTGAAAGAAATCATACTCTGACGTTGTTCAGTATTTTTCCTAAAGTTTCTATATTGTTAAAGTCTGGTGACTCCGAGCACCAAAATAACCAGCTCAGTTAATCTTTATGATGGTTAATCCATGTTATTAATCTCCTTGTCGTACAATGGGAGCATTATCCGTCAGTAAGAAGGAACCGTCTTTAGGAAAAGATTGTCGTCATCATTGGATGAACGTAATAGTAGAATAAGTTCCAATATATAGGTTTGAGATATTTTTCGAATTTTTTAATTAATTCTTAGCCTGTATAGAATGCCAAAAATAGCATTCCACACCAATAGAATTATGTTTTGAAGCTGGTTTGAAGCCATCAAAATATAATTCTCTAGATATCGCAAAACATAAACCATTCCTGATGTGAGAAACAGTGAAAAATGGTTTATCAGACAAACTTACAACTTTTCAGTCATAATAGCTATATTTTTGATGAACTCTACGCCCTTATGTGCATTTCCTTAGCACTCATGTTACTAATAATGTCATTCAGTTATATTAATATAAAGTTTACAAATATAAATCTCCGTACAAAAGCCTAGAGAAAATATAATTGTATTTATTTCCGTGAGATAAAATTTTAAGATTAAAGGAAACACTAAATTCTTGACAGTAATTAGAAAAAGGACATGTATGCCTAATATTTAGAAAACTAGTGCCAAATACATTTTTCAAAACATGCATTTTAACCCAGTATCTATGAAAAAAACTTAAAAGAAAAAAAAGATACTTGAAGTATATAAACTTTCTACTGAGATCACTTCACCATTTTATAAGTATGAACTTTTGGGCTGTAAACTACAATTTTAGTTTTCAGCTCCCATCCTGGAGCCACTTAAGATAGTCGAGGAAAAATTAGACCTACAAAATGTCAAACTCGAGTGAGCTTCTAAGTCCACACGTCATCTAGTTCGGATACAGCAGTAGCTGTCATCCTCATCCTTTGACCATGGTACAAAATTAATGGTTCTCAGCTCTTGCGATTCCTTAAAGTGGCGAGAATTCAAACCAACCAATCGATAAAATAAATTATTTCAATTGAAAAAAAAAAGATGTTTAATAGCAGCTGTAAAGAATTAGAAATCATTCAATAAGCCCAAATGGTCTATTTCTGGGCTAATAGTTATTTCTAGTACATAAGCATTCTTCTAGCTACTAAATTATATTCTATGTTCTGCTTTTCAGCATTGGGGGAGATTCCCATTCGTTGATGCACATCAGATTTTAAGCAGTCTAATCAGTCCCTTCCTTGTAGTTTCCGTTCCTCCGCAAGAGGAAAACCGTACAAAGAATCAGTCGGGTGCCACTATCAGGAATTTGTAAGAAAAAAAGGTTTTGATTTTACCATTGTTTACAGTTTTTTGTTCTGAGGGACTAAGTTTACAAATTTGTCCTTTTTCAATAAAAAAAATGGCATCGGAATTCCAGTAATATCGCCATAGATCTACAAAATTTCTACCCACTATAAAAGAGTACCTTTAAAGGTAAATGAAATGAAAATGTAAAACTTTATATTTGACTAATATTCTTCATTTGTGTGTGTGTATATAGAATCCTCATTAATATTTTTTTTTTTTTTGCAAAAAGTTTTTAAATTATATTACTTTCTCAAGTGCTGTAATTTTCTTAACATATAACTTTTATGCTGTCAACAAAACAAAGTTTGCTTTCCATTTAAAATTCGCATTATAATCTCGAAATTCAGTCTCATAAGCCATTTGAGGTCCCAGAACGTACAAAACGCTCCTGTATTACTTTGTTTTCCTCACTATTCCATCAAGCAATGGCCTTCCATTCCGCTAAAAGTGAAGACAAAGAGTCATAAGCCCATAAAATCTCTTGCAATAACCATAATCTCTACAGGACGTTGAGTACTCGCCCATTATAGGAATATGTCCTCGAAATGGACTTTGTGGAGGACTCCATTTATACAGGCTCTTTGAGCGATTATTTATGTCACCCATTTGCGATGAAAAGGCATCATTTTTTTTAAAAAAATAAGGAAAAAAAATTAAATGATAAGTGTCAGGTTTGGGAAAATTTAGATCGAACAGTACAGTTTCAATTATTAATCCCCTTGATTATGTTATAATTCTATGTGTAACCTCAAGATGCAATTTTTTTCCAAAATTAATTAGATCAAGCCTTAAAGGTGAAAAGATTCCAGATTTGTAGACTAATTTTTTAATACAAATCTAATTTTGAAGGGCTTTTTTTTATAATTATCAAATAAATATTTACGAGTAGACATCAAAAAGTTAGGAGAGAAATAAAAAAAGTAATATATGGTGTAATAGTTACTGAATTCTGGAAAAAGCTTAAGGTATCCGACTAGGTTCGGGGAACCGTGATTTTAAAAAAGCGCATAAATGGATAATTTTCATGATATTTAGTGTCACTTAGATTAAAATACATGTATAAAAGTGTTTTAAGGACATTTTGACAAAAAAAATTATTTAAATACGATATTTCGGCAAAAAATTAACTTAGAATAATTTTTTTTCCAAATGTTCTCCTTTTGTGAAAAATGCTTCTATTATAATAATATTTTGCCTGTATATAGCTCAGACCTCTGTACAGAGGCTCAACTAGAATTTTTGAAATATATAACTAGGAAGTGGGTTTATCCATGTTTTACGACAACAGAGGGGAGAAATTTTATGAAAAAAATGCCGATAATTATTTCAATGGGTTGTAACTCTGAAAATAATGTGAATTTTTCAAAAATCATAGTTGAGCCTCTGTACAGAGGTCTGAGCTATATTCAGGCAAAACATTAAAATAATAGAAGCATTTTTCACAAAAGGAGAACATTTGGAAAAAAGATTATTCTAAGTTAATTTTTTGCCAAAATATTGTATTTAATTAATTTTTTTTGTCAAAATGTCCTTAAAACAATTTTATACAGGTATTCTAATCTAAGTGACACTAAATATCATGAAAATTATCCATCTATGCGCTTTTTTAAAATCACGGTTCCTAACGTAGTCGGATACCTTAAGAGATTACATGTCTGAAAAAAAGTAAATAAAAAAATTGTCATTATTCTTGTAAAAACCAGCAGTTGTCTTCCCAATATTTATTTTACATTCCAATGCATTCAGATTTGGTTAAATTATCTTCAAATAGGGATTTTCGGTATTAAAATTTTGTATGTAATGAGAACAAAATACTAAATTTTTGCGTGATTTTTATATTTTCTTTATTTAATTATGAAACACAAATTTTAACAGTGTATTGAAACGCTTACGTTGTAATACTCTTAAAAGGAAAAAAAATCTCTTATTAATAATTACATACAAAAGGATTTTTTTTTTCCTTCATAATGCATAGATCGTTTAAAATTAGTTTTTCTTTCATTCTATTTCCATTCTCCCTTATTTAATTCATCTAAAAAAAAAACATTTTTTTAAATCGTAAAAAAAATATATATTCTTGTAAATAAGATGTATCATTCTAATTTTTAACAATTCCCACAAACTTCATTATACCTTCATTTACCTTTATTTTTAAAAAGCTGAAGTAGAGAGGGACAAAACAAGACATTAAAAATATGTAATACTAAAATATACAATAAATTTATAATTAAAAATAAAGCACTTGATATTAAAGATTAAGTGATGGTGGTGAAGGCGGAAACATTCCATTGTAGGCAGAAATTTAGATTCTTGAAAATATTCGATAAATAACATAGATTGACAAGGCAATGTGCTTTTTGTTGCTAGAGAAGAAATAAAAATGGAAAGATAATCTAAAAAAGCGGATATTATTTCTCTCTCCATTGCATTGTAAGACTTTGTATTACACCATTCTTTAAATTGCGTGTGTATATATATATGCACATACACACAAAATCCTCAAACGTTTGAAAAAGAAGTACGAACATGAAGATTTTTGTAAGTATGAGAGAAGTTATTTTAGGGTACATGAATTATACTTCATAAAATGCAGAGTGTACTTATAAAAAAGCAAAGATTTAAGGGTTTTTGTTTCCACAATTATAAAATAAAGAATAGTGCAAAAACTCTAAAATTGAAAATTAAAATTCTTCCATTTTCGCATTCTGTTAAGTAGTATGCTTATTTATGTGCAATAAAAAATGTGTCTTTTTTGTAACATTTTGGGCAGAAGAATTGACCACTTAAGGGGTTAAATCAATCATGGTTCGAAGTATTTCCATAGGCGAGATACAGAAGCATCTTCGTTACTTGACCATATTTAAAAAGTACGAGGTCCGTTGCCAATAGCCCTCTTGTGGCTTTATAGTACGTCTCGTTATTAAAAAAAACTCTGTCACTCTGATACCAATACCGTTGAATTTTTCCCACGCTTTCCACTTCGTTCTGCATTGTACTACCTTAGAAAATAACATTTTAGATAGCAATATTTTCAAGACTTGACCTTACCTTTTGTTCAGCCAGGCAGATTCTTTTTTACCAGTAACCGCAAAGGAACAGGATATTTTTCATGAAGTAACTTTCCATTCGACTCAAAGGAAGAAAGTCTGCTTTAGTTTCCGAAAAC